CATTCACTCTGTGCATAATGGTAGGATTTTGACTGCATCACAGTGTCTACGATGAAAATGCTTATAGTGCTATGCTTCTTATAAATCTTACTTTGATGTCTTCCATTTATCAGAACTAAACTTATTTTAAGATGACAATTGAAAGATTTGAGACAAAACCATGAAAATGGACATATGAAGTTGTTGAGAAGATTTTTAGCTCAGGATGGGAATGAAATTTTGTTTTCTCCTTGCCTTGGCATTTGATCGTTTAGGTTACATTACCAGAATTGGTGACTTTTTCATTTTTCATTATCTTGTCCAGTTTTAACTGGAGAAAATGATTTCAGTCTAAAAACCTTTTGCGAATCCATTTGTTTGTATCATATGAAGGTAATTACTCCTTATCGTGTGTGTCGCTGAGTATTTTTCACTGATCTGCAGGAGAAATGATTCTTTACTTCCTAAGTAGACTGGTACTTATCCGCATTTCTGAAGATCAGCTTAAGTGGCAAGCTTCTAGTAGTTCTCTTATTGTCATTTTTTTAACACCTAAGATAACAACATTTTTCAATCACAGCTGCGCTTGTAGTTGACCATATTCAGTGACATCAAACACAAAGTACAGTATCTTCTCGATACAAGTTGATGTGCATGTTTCCTCATGACAACCGGGCTGGTTAGCATAATGCTGTTGACAGTTAGTTATGCCAATTACAAAATATCAGCTTATATAACAATTTAATCATTGTTCCTCAGCATGGGGTAATTTTTTCGTTGTCAACTTGGCCAATCGGTATAGATAACAAAACCAGGTGTAGATTGTTGGATTTGATAAGTGTATAAAATTATAAAAGCAGCGTGTGTTTACATAATGAAATCGCTTATCACATTCGTGTTGTTTTTGTCATTTCATGGGGAAGGGGGCATTGTAACCAGGTCAAATTCTGTTTTAGTCCATCATTCCTATTCAGTTCAAACAATTTGGATTCCACTTGATATGAAGTGCTTCTGATGATATTAGACGTTCTTTGTGATTTCTGAAATCTTTCTGGATGATGATTTCAATATTGTCAAAATCAATTTTGTGGCCTGATTCTATAGCGTGTAGACGAGCTATGGCTGATGATTTTTCAAGCTTTTCGAGTTCAAGTGGATTTGTCGACGGTCGAACAGATGCTCCTCTGTGTTCACTTCTTCTGATTTTGATTTCGCGCGATGTTTAGCCAATGTATGTCGCATCACATTCCAACCATTTTATTTTACACACACAATTCGACAGAGTATTTTTATGGAATTGGTCTTTTTTATGTACAAGGTCGCTTTGCAGTGTGTCTGATGTTTTGAAGAAAACTCTGATGTCGAGCTTATCAATTACTCTTCTAATATCGTGTGATGTCTCTGACCTATACGGAGTGACAACTGTTGAGACCCATGTTTTCGGAATAGGTTTTCGACCATACTTAATGTCGGTGTTGATTTTGTTGATGAAGTTCTTTGGGTAGTTATTTTGTTTGAGAGTCTCATTAATGTTTGATATTTCCGATGTATATCTCTGTATACCTCTGATGTATAGTATAAGGCAGTTCTTTCCTTGAAATACAATAAACGTGTTCTGTTGAATTCTAACATTTTCTGTATTCTACATTCTGCATGTTTTTTTTACTAAATCATGAGGATAATTCCTTACTTTAGTCGCTATTTCTGCAGAGTCTTCTTCGAATTTTCGTCGATTCTGTGTTCTTCAGGGGGCCCTGACTCTTGAAAATAATGCCTATAGACTAAATTTCTTATGAACCAGCTAGTTATGTTCACTTTTTTCGCCTTTGTTCACAAAGTTTTGTTTTCGATCAACACTATTTGAGGTACTTCTTGTTCTCAACGAACTGAATATACATGTTATGTTCAATAGATCACCGCAACATTAGGACGCTGGTCATTCATTCAGGAAGTTCAGCTTTAATTCTCTGAATGAAATATTCCTTTACCTCACCTGGTTTATTAGTCGATAGTGATCCTTCAAAAGACAGAACCTTAAGCATAGGCCTATTAACCTTCGTCAGAAAAACAACACCTCTATAGGAACTTCAGAAGCCAAGAAATGTATGTCTCATTTGAGATACAATGAATAAAGAAAATGACACTGTGAATTCGTTTATCAGTTAGGATTGAATTTTTCACCATACTGGATTAATTCTCACTCTGATATCATGAATTAATGCTTGAAACTTGATAAACTTGTAGTTAGTTATTAATAAAGTAAGAAGTAAAAAATATTTGATACAGTTAGATTTGATTTTTCTTGATTATGAAAAGAAATATGTTTACACTGGTCATTTAGATCCGATTAATTTCGGTGGAATGAACTAACGAATCAACCTAAATAAAGTAGTTCAAATACTTCACAATTTTAGAATAATTCCTATTTGACCAATTAAAAAATGTATGCTCTCCAACTGCTATTCTGAGAAGATATATTTTACAAAATGCTAAAGAACGCCTGATTGTTCATGCGTTAGTCTCGTGGATACGACTTATTTTGAACAGGATTTAACCATGAATAAAGTGTAATAGAATAATTGTTGACAAAATGCCTCCTGGACCATCCAGTCACAGTATTGAGACCTACTGGGATATTCTGACTATCTATACAATTATTTTCCTCTCTTCTACTAAATGACATATCATTGTTCCGACAACTTCAGATCATATGCTGACTTGATACTTATTACTTGTCCCTCTTTCTGTCAAATCTCTAATTCTGATCCTTCTCTTTGGGGCTGTGTGATGATAATCGCATTATATATTATTTTACGGCAGCGATTTTGTTTGAGTGAATGAAGGTAATTCTGAAATGGAACTGTCTCCTCGAATTATTTGTTGAGGGATTCCTGCCAACAGAGCGTTGATACAATCTTGCTGAGGGATATTGTTCATGATTCTCAGTTACTTCCTAGGGTTGAATTTTAGTTGACTGATTTTGTTCTACAGCGTTTGCTGTTTACTGAAAATTTATCTGATCTGTACTACTGCCTGACGGTATTGTTGAGGTAATTTTGCGTTTAGATGTTATTACTGTGAAATAGTATAGCAGATTTTGTCACAAATAACTGTCTTTTTCCTGCCACTAGGGCATTCTCTGACTGTGATTAACTGAAGGGAGTTTTGGTCAGCTGTGCAGTAGAACGCGGCGGTCGTTCAGATCACAACACGTTGGTTTCAGTGGTTACGTGGATTTATATTCACCTACTCACAAGCTATCAGGGCAAGTGTGATATATGAATTACCGATGAAGGCGTATCATAATGATCTACGGTATTAAAATATAATTTTTTGAAACTTATTCACTACACGCATTAGACTTTTGTAGACAGCCGACTGGAAGCGCTGTATTTAGGTTTTGTGCTTATTATCACTCGTCAGCTATGCATGTTGACAACTTTGGAGGCATCTGGTAACACCTGGGTGATTGGAATCCTCTTCTTTCATTTGAGCAAGACGACAGAAACATCCATTCCTTTTTGGTGGATATTCTTCATGATTCTGAGTTACTTCTTACAGTTGAATTTTGGTCGACTAATTTCGTTCTACAGCGTTTGTTTTTTACTGAAAATGTATCTGATCTGTACACCTGTCTATTAGCACTGTTGAGGTGATTTTCAGTTTTCATGTTGTTATTGTTAAATAGTACTGCAGATTTTGTCTCTAATAATTCTTTTTTCCCGTCGTTGAAGCATTCTGTGACTATGAGTAACTCAAGGACATTTTGACCAGCAAAAATGTTTTTCTTGCATTTATACCTCAACAGGTCAATTCCGGTTCTTATGCAAAGAGTAACAGAAAGTCGTTTCTCCCCAGTTTAGCATCATCCAGCAATATACACATATGACCACCCTGTCAGGGACAAAATTCAATCTCACAACATTCTGAAATAGAATATGTTCTAGATTTTTGAACTGTGCACATCTCACTGCCCAAGAGTTTTAAACCGTAGGTCGCCGTATAGTACTCAGTGAAGAATTCTCCGTTTAAGCAACATGGATGTTAAATTGTTGCTGACTGCAAATAAGTGTCATTATAAGTCGTCATTTTAGTTATTATACCAAGTCATAATCTCTTATCTTCATGTAATATAAACATTCTCAAGTTCCGGTGTGCAGGAATTTGATTCCCTTCAAGATTTACCACAAACTGTCTTTATTTAGAGAAACAATGAAAGTCAGAGAGTGTCGGACTGCTGTTTCGTTTCCATGTTTGCCTCTTCACCAGTAGGCACCACCTGGAAATGAACTCAGCATCTTCATGTCACAAGGTAAGCCTGTGTCTCATTAGGCCCCCGGGGACGAAATTCACTATCATATTGATTCTGAATTCCGTCGGTTCGTAATATATAATGCTACCGCCAGCCAATATCATCGGCGCGCATTGGCGCCCACACCCAACTTTATGGATCCCCCTGTCTATAGCCATCCGGTAGAACTTAAGGCAACTCCATTCTGTAGTCACACATCAATGGGAACTAAATTAATTCTCAATTAGTGTTAATTTGCATGCATTTGACTGACTGGGTTCCATCACTGATGAGTCCCAGACAAGAATGAAACAGCTATCTACTAATCCCTGATTTTTAATGGTTCTCTAACAGAAATCTTTCCGCAGTCAGTCTTGATATTATTACAAACATATGAAAATCTGTAGAAGATTTTTCAGGCTGGTGATCATTTTTAAGGGTTAATTTATTTTTTATTTCGGTAACATTACATTTAGCAGTAGAAGAGTGCAGGTGAACTGATAAAAATAACCATCAAATGTTCATTTGTATTTTATATTCAAAACCAGACAACTAGCTATTAAAACGAAATAACTATCCATGAGTTAACACTGTGTATGACTGATTTTAAAAGTAAATCATACTACTTTGTTTCATAACATGTTTATGTCTAATCACACGATGATACAGTTTAGATAAATGCCAAATTCTGAGTCATTTTTAAAAAAAAAATCAAGTAACCAAATTGAAAACCACCCCCTCACCACTTCTCTCTCATTCTCTGTCTATTTTCACAACAATAATGACATCACACAGAAATCTATATAACTTCTTCAGTCAGTTAAAACATAAAACGTATGGTGTTAGCAGAAAACAATCACTTAGAATTTACTATAAATATTGGTTTTGTAATGCTTTTCTTCTAAAGAAGAGTACATTAGTTAACCTGATACCTATATAAGCTCAGAAGACATTTTACTCCTTGAACATTTATGAAATCATACTCCAATGCTACTATTGTGTGTTATTAGCTTTTTAGTTCGTCTAACAGTCTGCCAATATGTATGGAATGAAAATCTAGCCAATTTATTGGACATGCATAATAAGTATCGTGAAGATGCTCTCAACTGCAAGATACCAGGACAACCGGCAGCCAAGCAAATGCCTACACTTGTAGGTTTGTTAAGATATTTCTCCTTTCGTGTGATCTTTTTTATTAAATTAATTTGACAAGTCAATATTTCTTTTTTTTCAAATCCATTGAAACGAACATTTTTATATGTAAACCGTGTGTTGATATTATCAACACAGTCATGTATCAACTATTCACATGAAGTTATGTAAATCTTGTCAGTATTAGACGCCTCTTATCTAAATGTTATATGCTCATGTCTTTTTTGTACAGCTTTGGGACTATGACCTCGCGAGACAAGCACAACAGTTATCAGATACATGTCGATTTCAATTTGGTTCACCTAAATCTGACAAATTTGTAAAGGTCGGGCAAAATATAGCAGGTTATCCAAGTGTTAAAGAGTATGACAGAGATATTGTGTAATTAAAGCTTTTGTTTTAGTGCTATGGAGTCATGGTTTAGTGAACATCAGTATTACAACTTTGACAAACACTCGGGTGTGCAAAATTCCGGAAATTACCTTCAGGTAAGTTTCTGTCAAAAAAAATATTCTAAAATACCTCCCTTGTAACAAAAGAAGGCAAGACACGGGAGCCAAGGTATATTTTTCATTAATCAAACCTCTGTTTATATATCTACAGTCTATATTCCTCAACCAATCACTGACCGTCTGATTTCGGTTTACATCAAACGACATGAAATAGAATGTTCAAATATACATAGTATTCTGTTGCCAATGCAGTAATGAACTGTGGGAAAGTATTCTGTCTCTAACATCAAATAGAATGTTCAAATCGATATATCATATTCTGTTGCTAATGCCGAAGTGAATTATGGGAGCATGTGAGAATAATATTCCGTTTGCACACATTGTCTGTATCGCACTACCACACCCGTACCCAGTAGTAAGTAGGCCAGGTGAAGAGGGCTGACTCGACGTCGGGCCAGAGACTTCACCTTGTAGATGAGCACCATAGCCACTGAAACTTCAAGGCTCAAGCTTGAAGCTCTATTTGCCACTGTGAACGGGAAAATTAATATTCACTATGGAGTCTAGAGCAAATATAATGCTTCCCACCTGCTCCCCATCATTTAACACTTCGTTTAAAAACGTATATGTTTCACTCAGGTTAAACGTAATTATGGATGAGATACAGAAGATAACGAAACAAGTGATCAAGCATAGATACTTACCATTTCCTCTTCATTTGTTTTGTGATAAACTTCAGTCTATATTCTTTTATTGTTTTAACTAAGCGGATATTTAGTCACACTTTCAACTTTACATTTCAGATAGTTAGTGCCAAGACAACAGAAATCGGATGTGGCGTTACTAAGTGTAAAGGCATAAATGGTTTCAAATATGATTTATTTGTAGTTTGTAATTATGGAGAAGGGTAATTATACATTTTCCTATTTGTCGTTTTACTTGCATACTCACGTTTATTTTTAGTAATGAATTGCTTTGTAAAATAAACTAACAAGTAGTTATGAAAATTATTTTCATATTTTTATGTCAGATGACTAGATCGCAGGTTATTTGTCACTCTAAAATGCAATAGAATATTTCTTCCCTTTTGGAAAGTTATTCGAATGACAATGTCCATAAACCTGAAGTACTTGTGGTATCAATGCATATTTCATAAGCTGTACATACCACCGACAAAAGGAGACATTTCCAGCTGTGCTGATACTTCACTAGAATAAGTATAAATTGATATTCATGAAGATCTAAGCTTACAAACGGTATACAAAAGCTGATTTTTTTGTATGACATTAATTTATTTCAGGGCAGAAACAGTCATGAAACAGGTGTCAGTGTCCCAGTGTGAGGTTGCTCAAAAGTGAGGAGCTATCACTTTATGTGGAACAGATTTTACGAACTTCAGTTCACAAAGAAATGATGTTTCAGCTGAGCTATAATCTATGATTTCCTTTTAAGTAGTTTGACTGTTTTCCGTTCAAAACACTGACAAATCGTATGACTATGGGTGTAAAGTATGGCGAGTAGATTGTTTAAGGTTAGCTGCTGTGTAGATCTTTGTATTAAATATTCAGTTTTCTGAAGTTCAGAATGAAATCCTTTTAAAGGACAAGAATTAAGTGCATAACGAATCTTCAAGTATTGGTTTGGTAGGGATTTTGTTTGATTGTATGGAGGATTTCATCATGAGCTGACATCAGTTAGAGAACCACTGGAAAACCTGGGAGTACTGGACAGCTGTTTCGTCCTAGTTTGTGACTCTTTATCAGTACGCACCCACCGGGATTCGAACCCAGGACCTTCTGGTTACAAGGCGAGCTCGTAGACCATTGAGCCACTGGGACCCGATCCAATGGTCTACGAGCTCGCCTTGTAACCAGAAGGTCCTGGGTTCGAATCCGGTGTGTGCGTACTGCTGAAGAGTCCCAAACTGTGACGAAACAGCTGTCCAGTACTCCCAGGTTTTCCAGTGGTTCTCTAACTGATGTCAGCTCATGATGAAATCCTCCATACAAGCATAACGAATCATTTATGATGAATGTTAACCAAGATATCACCTTCGGTTATCATGCAATAAATTACTTTTAATACAGATAATTAATTCTTAGAATATAATACTTTAATAATATAGGCATCTTTTTTTAAATTATTCCATTACAGAGCAGACTTCACCAAGAGACCATATGAAAAAGATCCCTACAAAAAATGTCAAGAACAACTCGTACCATCTGTCAAGCCTACACATGGTAAATGGCATGCCACTTATGGTACAACGGAATTCAACAGAAAACACTGTTATTGTTACAAATAAATCTACTAGGATATTATTTATCAAAGACTATGTTTCATATTTCGTATTTAAAATAAATGTTGTCATGGAAAAATAGTGTATTTTCCTATTTTACTATACACTATAAGATATAGTGAATTGTTACTAATATAGAATGCGGTAATCACAAAATTATAGAAGTTATGAGAATATGCATAGGTAGAATGCTCACTGGTTACGCAGGAGTTCCGGGTTCGACATACTCGCGGACACACTCTCCTGGTTTACTGGCCTGTAGCGAAATTCAGAGAGGAGGGAAGGCTGGATGTGAGGCCAGCTACTTCATATCGTAAAATAACAACACTAGCACTGGAATTTCAAATCTTGAAGCCCTGATTCCATTATGGGTAAAATTTATTTTGATAAAGTCTCACGGTGTTTGTTGTACAGTAATATTTACTGATGACCGTTTGAGCACAATTCATTATTACTCATAATCATATCAAGGTATTCACACAACTTCCTAACTTCGTTTAATATAATTCCATTATTTTCCATAGCTTGATTTGATTGGTAGTAGTATTTTCCATATTTCCGGTATGAGTGATGAGTCATTCCTATTGCATGTGTTGGGTGTAGATCAGATGAACAAGGACTCAGTAATCAACATCTCTCTCCACCTACCTAGATTACTTTTTAGAATTCTAATCCTCTCCCAACCTATTGTGTAGTTGTGTGTTGATGCATGCAGTGCAATCGCTGAGCTTTTTTCTAAATTACTTATCTTCTCTGGGTCAACCATTCGTACCTCAGCTAAACTCTAATATTCCGAAAATCTAACTTCTACCGACCTACTGGTTTGTCTTACGTGGTTGACCTCACAGTCACTGCAAGGTATTTTGTAAATTATATTATTTTGTCAAATTGAGTCAACTGGGTCCTTTAACCTACAGAGCTTGTCCCTGAGTGAGTTTGAAGCCCTATGTTCCATCTGGAACACAAGGAGAGAAAATAGAAATGGAAAATAAATGCAACGTAGCTGTGTACTCACACTCCATCCACTCTGTATACGGATCCGGGAAAACTGCAATAAATACCAGCATAAAGGTAGGCTAAAAACCGGATCATCAGAGGTGACCCAATTAGGTTGAATAAAATAAAAACCAATCGATAATAAAACAGTAAAATTTCTTTGAAAACTTGATGTTAATTCCTAAATTACTTAAAATTAATGTGAAATGGAAATTGTGTGTAAAAGACAATTTTTAACAGGTCAATACTTAAATTGGAGGAAACGTTTGAAAGAATTTATAACCACAGGGTTTCGTCTGTAAATTTCCAACCGTTTCTTCAGTTTTACTTGTTCTTCACTCTGATCCTACTATGCAAATTAGTGTCAATATTATCATTTCACTGTTATCAACCACAAAGTTTATACTTCAGCTAACAATTTAACTAATTGGTCAAAAAGTCGACAGTGAAATCATGCGTTCTAGACTGTAAAAGCTTTGGCAAAATAAGAAGTGAAATATACAGTGGTTATGATGAATTCTGAATAATTGGAAAAACATTTAGAATTCATCAGCTGAATGACAATAAGAACTATGCGTTTATGTCAAGATTATGTCCTATTAAAAACTAGTTAATACTTGATACGACGGTCCTAAGGAATAGTGACCATGCAGTGTGGACGTACCGATAACCTTGAAAGCATACCATTCACTTGTTTACGGAACACACCTCTATTATAGGGCAATTATGAACGTTGTGTACGATTTCATCTCGTCATTAGGTACTGTTAGGGTAAGAATTAAGGTAAGTATTAGGATTGGGTTGTTTTATTATTACTATTATCTGTATTTTTCTTGTAAGTAAACAAATAGGAGGAGAGCGTTTCGTTGTTCATACAAATTAAAACGGTTTTGATAACTTGAAAAATGACACACTACATCGTAATTAGGAACTATTTTTCAATTACTTCAGGAATAAATGTCGTCTTTATTGTTCTTCATTATTAATATGTTAATTCTTATGGTAAATAAACATTTTTATGCATAATACACAACAGGTTCTATAATCCACAGAATGATTTGCATTCAAAGTCATCGGTGCTTTCGCACTCCGTACATTTGCCCCTGAAACAATATATGATTGTTAAATGTGAAGAAACACTTTTACCTTGAGTTCGTATCGATTTCGCTTGATCTATGTGAGATATAATCTGCGTCACTTGCATGCGTCTTAGAGAGAACACTGCCTTTTAGTAATTTCGTTCTACTTATACGACTTAAAACTTCTAAAATCACCAGAATATCTTCGATATTCTTGGAGACGCAATGACTCTTGCTACGTCGTAATAAATCCATTCACTGAGCTGCATCAATCTTAGTAAACGGCTTTGGAGCTCGTTCTAAATGACCGAAAAGGTTATCTGGTGTGCTTAGATTCCTTCGATCTGTCTAGCAAGCACCACAGGTTGATGTGGGTGGTATCCAATTACTCAGTTATCTAGGAATATGAACACTGAACGTTGGTTCATTGACCTTGGTAGCCATTGGCGGGCAACCCGAAGGCGCGAATGGTTCGGTCGTTCGAAGAAGACGAAAGAATACGAATAAAGTACAGCATATTTATTTGTAAACATTTGTTTATAGACCTGTACTTATACTCACTTTAATTGCCAAGCAATACAACTTCCTCCTTACAATCACTGGTGTTTTGGAGTTAACGTCGAGAAAGTCAAAGTAGTTATCGATTCGGAGAGTCTTTGTTACAAAAGGAACTTAGGGGTTAAGTTCCTTGACACATATCAATCAATCAGTCGCATATAACATCACCCATTTACGCTTCATTTCTTGACTGTATTCAAGTATTGTGATATGAATATTTTGGCTTCCAAAGGAAACCATGTTTAGTTGCGTTTCTCGGATTGCCTAATTTTCAACATACAAATTTGTATCGATGACTTTAGATGTGGCATATCTCCGCATATTGAAACGTGAATCAGCTTTATTCTGGTTGTACATGCAATAAAAAACAGAACCCCGGAAATACAAAGCTAGTTATCCGTTGGTAATAATCATGAAACTCAACCGAAAGCGCTGAAGCCAAATTCCGTATTGCCAACATAATCCGAAGAATTCGGTCTACCCGTCCACATAGAACAATGGTAATATAGATGACTCTGTTTTGAATAACGACACATTAGCTCATAATGTTGTAGAAACTGAGAATATCTGTCTGCAACTATACAATCACAATTATAAAACTCTGATTTGTTTGCTTGATGCGTTAAGCCGAATATATTGAAGGCAATCGTCTTCTAATGTGTCAGGAAATATCTACACACAAAAGTACACTAGGTAATCAATCACCTCATTATTAACCGATGACTTCGTATACCATTTGCATAAGTAGAATTGTCATCGTCTTTAATTCTTTCGAAAGTCCTAATTTAGTAAACTGAATGAATGGAAATGGCTGAATTAAGTAGTTCAGTCTACTTGGTGATCTCCAAAATCCAACAGACCTAAAACATATCTGATTTGGATGAAATTCAAAGGGAATGACTAAAACGTTGACTAAAAGCGGCGAATGAATTTGGTAATTACCACTTACCCATAGTTTATTATTTTTAAGTAAGTGTTCATGTTTTCATATAATTTAATTTACCTAACTATTTCTTTTCTATTTAGTACTAGACAATACTGTTAGTCTAGTATACATGCTCAAGTAATATATATATTACATGTAATGACTCCAAACATGCTCATAATCGCTTCATTTATAACAAATGATTGAGCTAAGAGTGCATTAAAACTAATGTTGGTTTTCATGGATTGGATTTCATTGGCTACAGGATTTTATCATCAGCTAACATCGGTTAGAGAACCATTGGAAAGCCTAGGAGTACTGGACAGCTGTTTCGTCCTGGTTTGGTCATCGAGATCACCTTGTAACCGGAAGGTCCTGGATTCGAACTCCTGCGGGTGCGTACTGATGAAGAGTCCCGAACTAGGCTGATGAAAGAGCTGTCCAGTACTCCCAGGTTTTTCAGTGGTTCTCTAACCGATATCAGCTCATGATTAAGATAAGCAGGAAAATGTCTGAAAAGGCAGAAATAAGTTTTTATGCGACATTCTGTTTATTCATACGAAACGTAGAACAACTACAACGTGTTATACGTTATCAGGAATCATATTTATCGGTCTATCCATAAAGACTAGAACAGGTTGACTGTCTCTAACCAAAATATATAAATATGGTAATATTTAACTTCCAAGCTAAAATTATTATTGTCAAGATAAAAGTGAGCTTTTGTACAGCACTAAATTGTGTCGCGTGTTGATTTAAACATTCCTTTTTCCAAACTGGTCATAAAGAAGTCTGTCAAAAGTGGGCAAAGAGGAGAGCCAATCACAATTTCATCTTTCAGATTTCCTGATGATTGCCTCCATCAATCTTAAATCAATTCACAGTTAACAATGACAGAAAGTCACCTAGCTTGGTATACGAAACTGACACAATTCAATCACAGTCACTGAGGATTTGACACATCACACTGATTACACAATGTGACTAAATATTGCAAATATTAGATGTGAATATAAAACAGTTCTACATAAAAAGCCATGGCAGCTAAATAAAATTGATTAAAGGACTCCATCTTTCAAACTGGCCAAAAGCAGTCCTCCAAAAGTGGTCCAAGAGGAGGGCCAATGGCAATTTCATCTTTCTATCTGTAGATATCATCGTCGAAGGTAAATAAGACATCAAATGTGCATCTCAATTACAATCATTCAGTTGGCAAATGGTTGTCTGAAATGTTAGAGTCTGTAAGGTAATAATAGTCTAAGTACTCTCTTCGAGGTGCTTCTGAATGTATAAATATTTGAATGTAACTGGAAGACACAGGTTGTCACTAAATGTGGAGTCTCTATTTACTAACGCTCCACCCACAGAAACAATTTGTCTCCTGTGCAAATATATGGAGGATATGAATCCGAGTATCGGAATACCAGCCTCATATCTGAAAGAGCTGCTACTGAGATGCAATTTTAATTTTAAATTTACCTCCAACGATGATATCTACAGATAGAAAGATGA